AGAGAGACAGATAAGAAAAATCTTATACTTCAACATCCTCCATAGTGCTACAACTACCTCCCTAGGTTGCATATCACCATAAAGACTGTCAATTCAAAGCATACTGAGCAGGATTTTGCAGGGAACAGTACTTGGAGCGTTCAAATTTAAACATTTGGACAGTGAACTAGGCTCCAAGCACACAAACAGCCAACAATCACCCGCATACATAATCGAACATCCCCCACACTTAAGCACGACATTGTCCTCAATGGAGGAAAGATAAAGAGGGTAGAACGAAGTTACCAGATCAAGGGTGAATGATGGTGGGCGGGGCAGGCGATGCATTCCAGGAGGAGAGAGTAGTCGGAACACAAACACGACACAGAATCTCACAAAGGTTGAGTTATTGACTCTAAAATCAAATAACAAAACTGACTCAACCGAGGAGAGAAAGAGAAAGAAATGCAAACCGACTGGTTGGGTTGCCTCCCAACAAGTGCTTCTTTCACGTCATGAGCCGGACGATGGCTCCTAAGTTTCGGTCCATGCTAGAACCTCCTTGAAGTTGAGGTTCTTGTCAATGAGGTGGAGTCGCAAGTCACGAGCATGTCGTATGACTGGTGATGGAAGCTCGTGCACTTGATGCAGATGAAGTCTCCATCCTCGAGACCTCTTCTTCTCTTCTCTCGTCCCATTTCCCCAAACCAGATATGACAGCATCGATTGGCCACCATCGCATCCACCAAGAGGGACCGATGTCGATGTGACCTTGGTCTGGCAAAGAGACACTACAAATGGGTCCTTGCCAAGAAGCTCCTCAAAGTTTGGTGGAGATATCACATGTAACTCATGGCCGGTGCAGGCCTCTTCCACCTTAACTTCGTCCTCGGCCTGGACGCCAATTGCTTCTTCAACCTCCCTTTCTTCTTCATGTGGTATCACCCCTGGGAAATGATCAAGAACTCCTTCTGCTTCACTTTCGTCATCCTCCACAACTTCTTTCTACACCCTTTCTTGTTCTTCTTCTTCTAGCACAGATTGGAGAGCAAGTCGCCATGTAATTTCTTCAATGAGATCATCTTGCATCTCCTCGCTCGGGCCCAGCATGTTAGAGCAGAAATAAAGAAAGATGTGATCTGCAACCAGAGGACTTTCCTGATCATGATTATCATGGGAGTTCTCTGTGATAACTTCTGTATGCTCCTCAACATCCCCGTAGCCTTTGTCATCCTCCACCTCTTCTAGCGTGGTAGCAGAAAGGTGATCTTGAGAAAGATGTGAGCAAACTTGCTCCACCCACTCTGTTTGCTTCGCTGAGCGCTGAACAGTCTCCTCCATTTCATGGAGAAATGAGGGATTGGAAGGGGCAAGGGCTTTGATTTGAAGATCCATCTTGGAGCATGATCTCTCAGTGTCTCGAGCAAACTGCTCCACGAGAAGCCTCAACTCATAATTTCGATCTGGTTGTGGAGTGTAGCATGGCTCTTCAGAATGGTCCGGGAAGGCCTCCATGGGTAACTCCAGCTCCGATGGCCCTTCTGGTTGTGGGAGAAATTCTTGTTGATAAGGAGATTGTTCTTGATATGCCCAGGGGTCTGATTGTTCTCCGTAGTAAGGGGGTTGGTACTGGAACCCGAATCCATAGTCTTCTCCTCCTTGATTGCTCCAGGGAGTCTCGGGGTAATACCACTCAGATGGTGATGGATACCCCCAATGGTTGGAGAAGCCATGAGGATCCATGATTCAGATCTGCACCAACAAAAACAAAAAACACCCAAGTGAAAAGCAAGGGTGGAAAAGAAAAGAAAAACGCTAAAGTAACAAACTTCTGCCTTTCCTAATAATCTAGAAAGTCCCCGGCAACGGCGCCAAAAACTTGACACGCTAAAACACAACACCTAACAATGGCCAAGTGTAACCAATGAAAGGGACTGCAGTATAGTGGCACAAGTAATAGATATCGAATCCACGGGTCTCTAGAGTTACTATTACTCAGCTTCAGTTCATTATCTAGCAAACTAGATTAAGGATTGATTTATAAACTACTCTACTGACTACTCTACTAATTACAAGTTGGGAACTCACTTAGGTATGATTCCCCCTAGCTCCTCAATTAGGTCCAAGTTGCAATTACTTTTGGTTGGTCTACTGTTGATTAAACTGCGGAAGATCCGACAGTAGCTTGGAATATCTTAAGCTAACCAAGCCCTCTCAGTCCAACTACCCGGCAGGCGACTAACCTTCACCGGGATAGAAAGTTGAGGCTATGAACACAGAGCTCCACTACCGGAATTGGATTCCAGTACAAAGCAGTAGATTGACTAACTCTCGTATAACCAATTCACCACCATCAATCAAGGAAGCTCTCTTAACCTAATCAGATTCTATCTATCATAGGTTAAAGCAGAAATCAAGAGAATTTGATCAAGATTCATTTGACTCAATAAATCATGCCTCAATCGATTATAATAAAAAAATATAGCATCCAAAACTTCATACAAGAAAGATCCTAACACATGGAACTAGGGTTCCTCAAAATCTAAGTGAAGGGAAGTTACTCCATAGAGAAGAGAGAGATTGCAGAAATCTGATCTAGATCTTCAATCTCCATCTCCAAGCTTGATTCCCGAGCTCCAATGGCGAAGAAATCCTCCAAAATAGCTCCAAGAATGTTCCCAAGTCGCTCTCTCTCTCTCTAGGGTTCGTCCCTTGGGTGTTTGGGAACCAAAAACCCAGCTCTCCCCTTTCCTTTTGCTGAAAATCGGGTTTTAACCAGAAATTTCCGATCACACGGCCAGGCCACACGGCCGTGTGACTTTCCCAGATTCCCGTGTGAGGGGTCGGTGATTTCCAAACGGCCGTGTGGGTCGTGCCCGTGTGGCTTGCTGAGCCTCTGTTCAATGCTTCGTTTCTCCCTCGTCCGGACTCCGAATCAGTCGCCGTTTGATCCCAGACGCTCGTAGTCTCGTCCTATTTCTTTTCATGACAAAATTCCATGATTATTTGTCCATAATATTAGGTAGAAGTCCATTATTCCTCAGCTCATGCTTGTGTTTCTTCTCCCGAATTGCCGAATGATCTCCTATTGACTTCAAACTTGCGCCTATGCTTCAATTTACATGCTAGGACCTGAAATGTGACAAAGGAACACAACCTAGCATAAAATAGGCCAAAGAAGCGATAATTCAAGCTTAAACGATCAAGAAACAAAGGGGAAAATATGTGCAAATATTGAGTCATCAGACACCGGATGGCGAGACGTAACGCGGTGGTCCCTAGTGTTGTTGTCTATGGATTAATAATATAAGTAAGGAAATTCTAAAGATAAGATGGGAGTAGAGATCTCTTATAGACTGTTTGATAACAAAGTATAAATGATGAAAGCGAGAACGCCTTTTGTCTAAGTCAAGAACCCGAATAATGTGTTTAGTAAGGAGTTTCTTAGGTCAAAGACCTTACGAAGTAACGACGAGACTGACCCCTTCTCACTCACCAGGTCGAGGAAAGGTTAGCAGAGGCGGATTTTGAGAAGAGGCAAGGCGAGGCGAGTAGCTGCACTAGCATTGATGAGAAGTCAAGGAACTCGTGAAGAGTCATAGCTAGAATATTTTAATTTCTTTGTTACATGGTTAGGAGTGTAAATTGGAGATTCTGAGTTCATTCATTTTAAGTATTGGGATTGTCATTTTCCCAACTGTGCAGGCTTGTTGTTTGAAATTCTTAAACATAGTCGGTTTATTTATTTTAAAAAGTGGTTTGGGTTGCTCCGGAGTAACTGGTTTTCGGTTTGAGTTATTGTTTGGTTTTTCGAAAAAGAGTGGGTCGTTACACAATGTTTTGGTATGCTGATAGAGGGTGGACTTTAACCACTTTCCTTGGGGATGCTCAAGTGATTATGGAAAAAGTCCACAATGTTGAGTTGTGGATGAGTGAGGTGGAGCCATCTTGCAGTACATTGCCAATTTTCAAGGTATGTTTAGTCACTTCGAAACGTTGTTTGTGGGTCAGAATAGGAATATGGTTGCCCATCTAGTGGGCAAGAAAATCTTTTTCATTGAACTAGATTGTAACCCGGTCCATTGGCCGATTGCAATATGATAACAACAATTGACAATCAGAGACAAAAAAAAAAGAAAAAAGAAAAAGAGTGACATGGCTAAGATGGACACAACATCAATAGCATTAGCAACAATCTTATTGAATTGAGTAATGGCGGTTTATAAATTCGTCTTATCATAACACATTTTTTGTATTTGAATTGAAATTTACCACTTTAATAAAACGATGTAATTTTAAAACCAAAAGTAGTATACTTGTAAGCTTGTATTGCCGCTTAGTTGGACATGGATAGATTATTCGAATCCTTGAATAAATTTTTCCGAAATCGACTTGCAATTGCTTTTTGTTAAAGTAACTTTGAAATTTACATGTATTTATCACTTCTTTGAGAAGTAAGCAATGATATTGGTAATGGATTAAAAATTAACCAAAATTTTAACTCGCACTAAACATATTCCTTTACGTTTGAGTAAAAATGACATTGTTCTTGAATTGTTAAGTTCAAAAATTAGAAATTTTTATATGTTATAATTGCATGCTTGTTGAAGGACCCCAAAATAGTTAGTAAAATTGTATTTAATATCCATATAGTACATGTATTCTATTAAACGCTTTTAAAATTCTCATTTACATACCATTGTAGATTTGTCTCTTTATTTTTTGTTTGTTTAATGCTTCAAGTATTGAACATGTATAACATATTTAATACACGTATTTTAAGGAATTAAACTGATAATTTCTTAATTTATTTTTATTTTTAAATTATACGTTTCTAAATTTTATTTGTTGATACCAAAATAATATTAGTAATTTAGAATAACGTATTAAACTTCATGCATATTAATATTGTCACACCCCTATAAATTTTTTATTAACAAAATGCCAAATTTATCAGAATTCAATAATAAATCCGTGGCTATCGTATATACACTATAAAGATAAAATTAAAAAAATGCTAGCTAAATGGAGGATTATGGGAAGGGGGAACTCTTACACTGTGGGCTGCAGAAAAATGAAAACAGAAATTTTAAGTGAAATAGCCCACGGTCTGCAGTACTTTATCCACCGAGAATTGATATGCAAAAAGACTCGAAAGTTCTTCCTTGCTTTGCAGGGAGGCCAGGAAATATATATTTAAGTAGGTGCTGAGATATAACGTGCTTATATATGTGGGAGGATTCATGGAGTTTGGTGGGTTTGATTTAATTTCTATACCATAATCGATCTATTAAGGTTGCAAACTACCGTAGGAAGCTGAACTCTATTAATCGGATTCATATCAATGGGCTAGTGGTTGAAGGGAAGCAAGCTTTGGGTATTGGTATTGCTGATTTCTACAATGAGCTCTTTCAAGAATCCACTACAAATAGACCTTTCCCTGGTGTGTATCTTAATATAAGATTGGACCCTCAAGAGTGCAATGATTTAACTCGTAGTTTCAGCGAAAAGGAAATATGGGATGCGATTTCCTTGAGTGATGGGTTTAAGGCCCCGGGGCCTGATGGCTTTACTTTTGATTTCTACAAGAAATGCTGGTTGTTGTGTAAGAAAGAGGTGGTCCAAGCCTTTGAGGAATTTCATGCTACGCGTTACCTACCTGACATCATCACCCTTGCTTTTATTTGCCTAACTCCGAAAGTCGATGTTGTTGAAAGCATGAAAGATCTCCAGCATGTATGTTTGATGAATAGTTTTAACAAGCTCGTGAGTAAGGTTTAGATGAGGCGTTTGAGTTGTGTTCTTCCTAAGCTGGTATCCCCTAATTAGCATGCCTCAGTTCGTGGAAGACATATCTCGGAGGCGACACTTATTGCTAATGAGATTGTTGACAGCATGAAGAAGAACAGAAAGGCGAGATTAATGTTCAAACTGGACATTGAAAAGGCATTCGACAATGTTAGCTGGGAATGTCTCTTCAATGTGATGGACAAACTGGGTTTTTCTGCGAAATGGCATAAATGGATCAAAGGGGATTTGTGCTCTCCAATGATATCTATCCTTGTTAACGGGGAGGCACATGGATACATTCGTGCGAGTAAGGGGGTGTGCCAGGGGGATCCACTCTCCCTGGCGATCTTTGTCCTAATCATGGACATTCTTTCTTTCATGATTATGAAGCTAAGGAATGTGAATGGGCTGTTTGGGTTTGCTATGAATGAAGACATGGGTGTTGGAGAAGTTACACATCTCCTTTTCGCTGATGACTCCCTCATCTTCTGTGATGCTGATTGACTCGCACGAAACAACACCACAATAAAATCCCGACTAGAGTCCAAGTTTTTAAACTCTAGTCGGGTGTAGTATAGAGCAAGTATTTCAATATCAACCCGGGCCGGTCCGTCTACCCCTACTTCAGCTGTTTTAATCATTATCTAGCAACAAAGTTTTGGTTTAAAAGTTTGCTAATTGTAACAAAATAGGACAAAGGTAAATGGGTTTGAAAACTCTTTTGTGGAAGGATCACTCGGGTGTCGCTTCTCCCTAACTACTAACATGATATGTGAATTGGAACGATTGTTTTTGGCAAGGTAATCGCGAACCGTAGAGGGATGCATATATGATCGGAGACCACAATCTCAATTGCTAAACTGAGGTAAACATTAAAGGTCGTGTCACTCGACCCTCTCGGTTTAGGCAATCGGTAGTTGACTTACTCCCTCACTCAACTCAAAGGTCGGACGGCTTAATCGCGGTTAACTGGTTTTCTTAACTCAACATTGAGGGTTTCCCTAAATTAACCTAGTTAGGTGGCTTAAAAGGCTGAAGGAAAACCAACTCGATTGAGTCTCCCTTGGAAGGGGGGATTTTCCTCTCTAAGCTAGGTTAAGGTGGCTAATTATATTGCTAGCACCAACATACACAAACCTAAGGGTGCTAAGCATAATTATGCACAATCCTTAGGTTGCTAAGCACCAAAATGCACAAACCTAAGGATGTTAAGCACAAAACATGCACAACCCTTAGGTTGCTAAGCACAAGCATGCACAATCAACATGAATAATACCTCAATCATTGAATTAAACAATACCCAATGACAATCATTCAATTCACATAAAAGAAACTACATGGTAGAGTTAGGGTTTCACAACATCCAAGTGAAAGGAGATCTACTCCATGCTAGAAATGGGAAAAACACAAAGAGAAGAAGAGGAAACCATCTTGGAGGATACTCCCAATTTTCTTGGCCCTTGTGTTGAACTTTACTTGGAGGAAATCTTCCCAAAATCTACCTTCAAGCAAAACCCTAGCCTTCTTCTCCCTTGGTTCGTGTTTCTCTATCTAGAAATCTGAAGAAGGCTTTTCACACAAAATGGGCTCTCCCCTCTCTCCTCCTTTCAACTCATCTTTTAAACCAGAGACGAGCTTAGTTCACGGTCTGAGTTCACGGCCGTGAACCATGAAACGCGTCTGTGAACTGCAGGCGTGCGCCAAAACGCACCACTTCGATCACTTATGTTCACGAGCAACAGCCTCCATTCACGGTCATAGTGACTGTGAACTCACCTTGCGTAAGTAACCTATATTTTGGCTCTGGACGCCTCGCGATTCACGGTCAAGGGCTCTTCTTCACGGTCGCGCAAGACCATGAACTTCCTGGGATAGCTGTGAACTGGCCCTTTTTCATCTCTTCTCCCGGTTTTCGATCCTTTTCATCCAACTTTCGACTCCGAGGCTGGTTCCACCTGTTAAACCCTGAAACACACTAAAACACGAGGAACCTAGCGTAAAACCAACCTTTTAGGAGTGAATTTGCCACAAACACCTAAGTAAAACGGGAACAAAACATGTACAATTAGGCCCGAATCACTCCCCGAACCACGCTTAGACGTTTGCTTGTTCGGTTGTCCCCAAGCAAACAATTTCGCACAAGGTAATATTTCAACCTACACAAATACTTTGGGGACAACTCAAAGGTCACAAAGTGGGAATTCTCAATGGCTATTGGCAATCAATACATGACCGTTGCAAGCAATACCGACATCGACCACAAACGACTTTCGAAGCCACCAAAAACGGGTAAATGAAAAGTTCTCACCTTGTTCATGGATCAATGCAAGTCGCAACAAGAACACTTATCAACCACAACCAACCATGCATGGAATTCAAGTCCGAAGAACAAATGGAAAGGCAACAAAGGTCTTTACCGGGGTATGATATGACATGCAAAGCAAGAATGAATCACTCACTCTCAAGACCAGTGGGGTCGAGACCTTTTTGGTGCAAAAGATGTGCACAATCATAAACTCCCAGCCCTATCGTCTCAATACCACGACGGTAACCTCTAGATGTTAGAGTTCACGGGATGTTTGTCACCACTAGCTCGTCCGGAGGTCTTAGACACGGGTTCAGATGACGTGAGGTTCTACATCTTCAACCTAAACCCGAAGGTTCTATGGTTTCAACTAAAACCCCTCTCTTCAACCCAAGGCCACTAGCATCGGCCAAAACCCTTATCTCTCCTTTCCAAACTATCACCCATCGTGAACTACATTGAAACACTCTTCCTCGGTCTAATCTTGCTATCACATTAAGGTTTGGTAATGAAGGAGTTCTAAAACAATGTGGGGATTTCGATGGCTTGGGTGCCAAGAAAGCTCTCCTAGAGCATGTACTTTGGTTTTTCGTGACACTCTCTTCTTTATTCACCCCATTTTATTACCTCTTTTTTCGTTTCTCTTTTCTTTCTTTTTCTTTTCTTTTTGAGGGGAGTGCTAGAGAGTAAAAACACTTGCCACCTATACATTTAACGACCAATGCTATCTACTCCAAAACTACACTTCATTTTTCTCATCCCTAGCAAGGACCGCACGCGAACCTCCTATGTAGAACCTCTATGGAAACTCAAAGGCGAGAGCTCCAGGACACAAGGATGACTCTTGTTTAGACACGAAGAAAGGATTGGGTGTCATTCTATTAACACCATTAAGCTCACACGCACGAAGCTCCTAAATTGAGAACGACCCTCGAAGTCACAAGGCTCAAAGGGGTTGACTAAAGGATAACACATTTCGGGACAATCAACATTTGGGCGTGGACTAGTCCTATGCCTCCATCATACTTGCTAGTGACAACTGTGATGCTACACACCGTGGTAAGAGGGAACTATCACACCGGAGAAAACGATCGGCTCAAAGCTCACAGGCTACCTAGTTACCCAACCATCTATTCCAATTCACAAACACAATGCATGGCAATTGTACGCAACAAGTGATCAAGTCAAGACATCCATTCATTTATGCACACCTAAGAACTAAAATTTTGCCCTATCCTAATGAACTTCTCAGTCATCATCATAGGATATACTCGATCACATGCAACAATTCAAGATCAATGCCAATAAACACGAGAATTTCCCACCATCTGGCCACTTTGATCATGCAAACATTGCTTGGAGCCCTCAAATTTTTGAAATTTAGGCATATAAAAGGCTCCAAGCATAAATCACACTCACACAAATGTACTAGTAAACTACCCCCCCCCCCCACACACACACACACTTAAACTCGACATTGCCCTCAATGGCGTGAGAAAGGGATAGAATGATGTTACCGCTTGGGCTTGGTGAGTGAAAGTTGGAATCTAACCGGGGTAGGATAATTTGAGCTTCAAGGAGAGACAAAAAAACACACACAGAAACACAATATGACTCACTCGAGGCGAGGTTATTACAAGCACAACACATAATAGTAGTTTATGTCACACACACACAAAATGAAGAAAATAACAAAAACAAAAAGAACACAAGTTCAGGGTTACAAGTAGAGAAGTGGGGCAAAAGGACTCCGCTCTACCACATGTCTCACTCGTCGGCTACATATCTCCTGTGGAAGGACCCTCTCCAGCCTCTAGTAGGATACCCTGGCGTCGAGCCATAAGCTCGAGAATATCGATCTACCGGTCGAGGCGGGATGAGAATCCCATGAAGTTCGTCCTAGGCGATCCACCCTCTGAACGGGGGGATCACCTGCTGGTGGTGGTGGTGGTGGCTGCTGTGCAGGGTACTGGAGCAGTGTGCGCCGGCGGCGGCCGGGTGCACGAGCAGGTGGCTGCTCTGCTGCTGGTGGGACCTCGAGGTTAGGCTCCACTAGAGCCGGTGCTACTGCAGCTCGGATGACTCTGGAAGGTCGGAGTCCGTCAAGGTACTCCACTCCTCTCTCGCCCTGGAGTACCAACTTCTGGTTATATAATGTCTCCACTAGGAAGGACTCCGTCCTTCCGACTCTGGTGCAGCGAGCCAGATTCACTTGGAAGTGTCGGGCGATCCTCGTGATGATGCCACCATAGCGATCCATAGTGTCCGATCCCGACCTCAATTCCGATTCCGATCCCGATCCCAATCCGAATCCAATCCCTTTCGTGTTCTAGGTAAGGATCATGAACCCCTTTGCGATTTCTAAACTCGATTTATCGATAGTCTAATCTGAAGCTCGTATTTTATTAGCGGTGACGTTGAGAGTTCGGTCAACAAGGAGATCAACGTCCCGGGTCATCCAACCTAGGTCTAGGCACGTTCTAGAGGTAAGGGAACTCCATCCCTTTGAGTTAGATCGATCGATTTGGTGATTTTTCATGAGGGTGCAATTCTGAGGTTTTAGCAACAGACGTTTAGGCTTTTAGTGACAGAATTTGGGTGGTCACTAAAGCTGCTGCGAATTTCCAGAAACGTATTTTTAGATGTTTTAAATTGTTTCGAGCCTCACTGAAGGTTTTTTTTTTAATTTAACAATTTTATAAATTGACCGACGTCTAGGAGACGATTGTAATTTAATTTGGGGATTTTTTAAGATGTATTTCTATTTTTAGAAATTGTTCTAATATTCGTTTTAATTAAATAAAAACCTTTCCTAGGGATTTTTAAGGGTTTGATAAATTTCCAGAGTATAGGTGCTCATGATTGACTTGGGAAAATTATTGTCCAAAATTATAAGAAGGTTCTAGTTAGGTGAAAATTTTAATGGGGGTTAAAGGAATTTTGGAGTGAGGTTTGAGGAGGGGACTTTGAGTAGAGGGTGTGTGGGTAGATAAAAAGGAGGGTTTTAAATCGAGAAAGGTTGTCTTAGAGTATGAATTTCTTATTAATAGGTTACCTGGGATAATCCGGCTAAGGAGGGAAAGAAGGCGAGAAAGTTAGCAGCCGATCGAACTTCGTAGTCTCGCGTGATGAAGAGGTTCACACCGATTAGGAGGGGAAGAGCTGCGTCTATTAGAGGCGGAAGGAAGGCCGAGAACTCGACATCGGTGATCGCAATTGGCGGGGGTAGAGTGATGGAGAGGCCCCGACCCTATCCTCCCAGACGACCCGGGGTGTCAGCAGTTCGAAGTTGGCCGCTGAATTGTGGCTGAGGAGGGACCTTGAAGAGAATGGCGGCGGAGCTCCAATAGTTAGGGTCGTTGAAGAGGAAGACGATGAACCGATAGAGGAGGAGCCAAAAGAGGAAAAACGCGCGGGGCTGGAGCGAGAGAATGCAGACGTCGATGCGACTAAAGAGGTGAGTGTAAAGGGGGTAAAATCTCTGTAGTAGGTCTTTTAGTTTCTGTTTTTCGTTCAAGTTATTATTTAGTTAATTTTCTAGTAAGCGCGATATGTGTGTGAGGCATCCCACCGCCTGTAAGGGTGGAGGCATGCGTTGTGCTATGTATGAATGTATGTGATGTTGTATGGATTGATGGTATGAGGAACCCCCGGGCGATTGGGTCACTACTGGACGGCGAGACGTAACGCAGTAGTTGACGAGCATGGACTAGACGGCGAGACGTAACGCAGTGCCATTGCCGAGTTTGGATATGCAACCGGACGGCGAGACGTAACGCGATGGTCCTAGAGTTTTGTGTTGAGATAAGGATAGAAGTCGAGAAATTTATGAGTTAATGTTGAAATGAGTTTATAAGAATGGTTATTTAAGAGCAGAAAGCGAGAACGACTTTCATTCTAGGAAGGCATTTACCCTAATAATGTGTTTAGCAAGGAGTCTGCCTAGGGCAAAGACCTTAGGAAGTAACGACGAGACTGACCCCTTCTCACTCACCAGGTTGGGGATAGTCTAGCAGAAGTGGATCGCGAGAAGAAGCAGGGCGAGGTGAGCAGCAGTACCAGCATCGACGGGATATCGGAAAGCTCGTGAGGAGTCAAGTTAGATTAGTTAATTATTCTGTTTCATGGTTATTAGTATAAACTGGAGATTCTGTGTTAAGTCGTTTTAAGTGTTTGAGATTGAGAATTTTGCCCAAGTGTTGGGGCTTTTCGTTAAAAATTCTTAAATAGTTTGTTTATTTTAAAATGTGGTTTGGGTTGCTCCTGAGTAACCGGTTTTGGTTTGAGTTGTGGTTTGGTTTTCAAAAAGGATCAGGTCGTTTCAGCAAAGGCATCATAGGTCAGCAATCGTGGCTGACCTCCCAGCATAAACTCCACAGTGGCCGGCTCTTCTTGTTGGCCGGGACGATGTGGGAGAAGGTGGAGTAGAACTCCACGCACAGCTCATGGTAGATCTCCTCGTCCATGGTCAAGAGCTGGCGCCACTGGGGGTGGCTGAGCACTTCACTCATCGCGGCTCGCACCTGAACAAGATGAACACGTCCAGGTCCAGCCGCCAGTGAGGCCCAATGGGGCTGCCACTCTGGTAGGCGAACTTGTCCCCAAAGTTCGGGTGGTTCACCAGATAACTTATGAACTCATGCTCCAAGTTAAGCGTCCTGCATAATTACAAACACCCACCATACGTGGAAACATTCGTCAAATAATGCTCATTGGGAGGAAAGGAAATTCCCCCACACTTGTTTTTCCACCATGGTTATCAAACATTTAGGCTCAACCACCGTGGCATGGTTGTGGGTAATTCACGGTTCAAGCAAACAAAAAGTTGAACCACAACCCTTACCATGGCTACCATCCACCAAACAAGAATAAACTCCACCTACATTCATAACACATCAGTTGGTGGACAAATTCAAAAAATAAACACAATTCGGTTCAAACACGCCCACCAAGGCTCACTAAGCTCATGCAAGAAATCAATCCATCATTCAATCGACCTAATTCACCTAATTCCTCACCCTCAATCAATATTCAATCATGCAAAGCACAAAAATTCAACCTCACTTCACTACCCAATCTGATTCTCTACAAATCACAAAGGTAAAGTTGAAAAACAAACCTGGAGACACAAGTAGGAAGTGAGGTGCGGGAGAGGACGGTGAAAAATGATCGGAAAATTGACTGGAGAGGGGTCGCCGGAGCTTCGTCGAAAGCTCGTCGGAGACTCGCCGCCGGTGACTTGGCCAGAAAAATGTGCTCCAAATCTCCCCAAAATCTCAGCACATGCCGATTTTGAGGAGAGGAGACTGGGTATGACGTTGGTTTTGGGTTTTGCTCGCCGAAAATGGGGGGAAAATTAAAAAATCGACAGAGTTTCGCGTTTTCCGACGAATATTTGAAATTTTCCGGCGAGATTTGGTTGTGAAGTGAAGAGTCGCCATTCACGCCCCTTTTATAGGCACGGCTCGGAGTTCACGAACGCATTGCCCAGTTCACGGTCTTAGCGAACGTGAACTCTCAAATGTGTCCGTGAACACGGAGTGGTCGACAGATGGTGATCATGCGCCAAAACGCACCGCTTCGATCACTTATGTTCACGGTCAACAGCCTCCGTTCACGGTCTTAGTGACCATGAACTCACCTTGCGTCAGTAACCTCTGTTTTGGCTCTGGACTCCTCGCGATTCACGGTCAAGGGCTCTTCTTCACGGTCGCACAAGACCGTGAACTTCCTGGGATAGTCGTGAACTAGCCCTTTTTCACCTCTTCTCCCGGTTTTCGATCCTTTTCGTCCAACTTTCGACTCCGAGGTTGGTTCCACCTGTTAAACCCTGAAACACACTAAAACACGAGGAACCTAGCATAAAACCAAACTTTTAGGAGTGAATTTGCCACAAAAACCTAAGTAAAACGGGGGCAAAACATGTACAATTAGGCCCGAATCACTAATGCTGAACAAGTTCTAAATATTCTAGCACCATATGCTTTCAAGCGGTGACGGGAGTGAAGATCAACTTGGACAAGTCTATGATGTTCACTGTTGGCGATGTTCCCGAACCCAGTTTCTTTGGTACAATCTTTGGGTGTAAGTGGAGCAACAAGTCCTCTAAATATCTCGATCTTCCGTTGGGCGATCGACCCAATGTTGTTTTGAATTGAAACCCGGTGATGAGTAAATATCAAGGTTGATTGTAGGGCTGGAAAATCAGGTTCCTCTCTTTTTGAGCACGACTGACTCTTAATAGTGCAGTCCTTAACAACCTTTCCAGTTTATCAGTTTTCTTTGCTTAAAGCGCCTAAGACCGTTTTGAACAATATGGAAAAGATCAAGCGTAGGTTCCTTTGGTGCGGGGCGAATGGTCTTAACAAGAGGCACCTGATCCTTTGGGACTTATGTAAGGCCTCTAAGCATAAGGGTGGTTTGAGAGTGATTGACCTTGATAGCTTCAAAATTCTCTTCTGGGGAAACGGTCTTGGAAATATGCTTCGGAGAAAAACAGTTGGTGGAGGCAGCTCCTGAACATAAAGTATCCTAATTCAATCTCGGAGTGGAAAGCTAGGAAGTTGGAGGAACGATTGAACAGTTCTTTTTGGGCAAATATTTGCAAGGTCAGTGAGTTGTTCTGGAAGGCTGCGAGTATCGATCCTGGCCCGGGTATCGCGATCTCACTTTGGCACAATAACTAGATCCCTGGGAAGTCCCTGCGGATTCTTTCCCGCGTGCTGTGCTGCTGCTTCTTTCCCCAATGCTACCATTCTCGACTATGTGTCCTTCTCAGGTGAGTCGATTATGTGGAAAATTCATTTTTCTATTTCTTTACGGGGTGGGGCGGAGATCAAGAGAAACACTTTATTTGAAGTGATTAATTCTAATTCCTTTGGAATCAATAATAGTCCTTGCCGGATGTTGTGGAATCCCTACACAGATAGGTCGTTTTCAGTTAGTTCTTTTTACAGGCCGCAGGTTGAGGAGCGGTTCCCTGAGGTGGATGATTTTCATTCTGCTTGTGTCGGGAAGAGCATTATTCCCACGAAAATCTGTGGTTTCATATGGCTCGTTTGGCATAAAAGAGTTCTCACCATGGACAATCTGAAGAGACAAGGACTTGAGCTTGCGAATCGGTGTGTCTTGTGTCTCAAAGAAGAAGAAACTATTAATCACCTCTTGGTCGATTGTAGTTATACCAGGCATGTGTGGAGCGATGTTTCCATCAACAACATTCCTTCGGATATGTCTTCAAGCGATATCTCTATGATCATTAACTACAATGAGCGCAGATGCCTGAATGGAGTCGAAGCTTGGTTCATTTTTTGCTATGTCCATGCGATCAGCTGGCATGTTTGGAAGGAAAGCAATTAGAGGATTTTATAGGATATTAGTTGTAATCCATTCGTGATCGCGAGGAAGATTATCAGAGCAATCATCGAGTGGATCGTAGCTCATGGAAAGATTGTAAAGGATCAAGGGACTGCTTTAATGCAATCTTGGCTTCGCAGATGTGATGCCAGTTACCGAGATCCCTTTATTGGAGGGTTTTAGCCTGTTGTGGGATCTTTGATCTGCTTGGGGGCCCTAAAGTTTGTTCACCTTGTTCGTACTCCTTTTCTTTTCTGTAACTTTCCTTCCTTTCCTTAGACTTTGTAATTGTTTTTGTACTCTGGTTTTTAGCTGTTTCTCACGCCTTGTGGGAACTTGCTACTGAACCTTCCTCCTTTATTTAATTAACTTCATCACCATTATAAAAAAAAAATTAATAAAAAAAACTTCTCTAACAAACCTAGAATGAGATGGTGTCAAAAGTCAAAACATAAGCAAAGAGTGATCTAAGAGGTCGTTTGCTTGTAGGATTCTGAAAAATCAAGGATTTATGTAAAACCCTGGATTTTATCATAGAAGGATTATGTGGGATTTTGTCATTTTGGATTTGTGTTGGATTTGCAAAAGTACTTGTTTGCTTCATGGATTTTGTATTGGATTTATGTCTTTGTAATTAATTAGTTAAAGGTTGAATGTACAACTTTATCCTTGTTAACTACCATCTCCAAGAGAAGAACAAAAGCCACTGCCCTCCGCCATTACCTTCTCCATCTCCTTCCAAGTTTATTTTACAGCTTACTTCGCCAACACCACTTGTTCCTTGTGGCTAGCTAACTAAATTTGTATGGACTAAATAAAAAATTGCATCACCTTACACAAACTTGCAGCAGCTACTAAGCAACCTCAAATGTGTTCAAAACTTATAATGATGATAACTTTCAGCAGGTAACGCAAATTTGCAGTAGCTGCTAATAGAAATTTGTAACTTACAATAACGACAACAGAAATTTGTAGCAGCTACTTCATAACAAAAACATGTCAAAAGTTGCAGTAACTACTTCACTCGAGAATGGGAGACGGAGGAAGCTTCATACGGTACACAAACGGGAATGTGATGGAGGTTGCTTGTCAAACCCTACAAATAATGAGGGCAACATCGGAATATTGAAAATATATAAGGTTACTTTTGTCATTTGCTTTCATGGATTATGACTCTTCCCAAAATTCCACCTAATGAGGTAGGATTTTATAATCCGTGGACCCCACGGATTTTGATCCCACTATAATCCCTTATGCATGGGTCCCACAAGAACTAATCCAACACAATTTTTGCAACAAACATGGACTTTGTCCATAATCTCATAAGTGTGGGTTTTTAGTCCAAAATCCTTGATCAAAATCCCAATAGCAAACGACCTCTAATATTAAGTGAGCCCATCGACTTCATAACTAGCTTCAAGCCCGAGGCCATTCATCCACAGCGAAAGATTAAACGACGTCGCCTCAAAACGATCGTGAAATTTTTCGACTGGTCAGGAATGAGGATCAGGGTGGCCTCTGCTCGTAAAGAAAACACAAATCGATCTCAACTTCTGTCCTTCTCTCCTTCCACTCTCGGGACGATGATGGATTCTCGCGTTCTTGTTGCTCTGCTTCTCGTCTCTTCCTTTCTATGCTCATCTGCCAAGGTGACACTCATTTTCCTTGTTGGACCAATTGCGTGCTTCTCATCTGATCGCTTTCTCCTCGCTGTTGCGAGATTTGATCTGATGGTTGCTTGATTCGGATTTGATTTCAGGCGGAAAGAAGCGGGACGGTTCTGTTCATCGATGGCCAGGGACACAAATACCTTCGTTCTCCATCCACCAATGGTGGCGTCCAGGTTTGTTTGGTCATGTTCCTCTTTCTTAGTATGCTAGTGAATTCCACCAAATCAACTTGATTTGCGTTTGAATTAGAAACTAAATAGTATTCTTCTGCCCTATCTGATGTCCGTTATTGAATTCTGATGCCTGCATGCGGTGATGGATTGGTGTTTGGGTAGATATTTTATATTGATGAGAGTTATTCCTTTGGGATGGTGTTTTTGATTTCATGGATGGATTCGGCCATTCAGGCTTTCTTACTTTCGTGATAACACCTTCTGCAGTCCCAGTCAATGTTGATTCCGGAAGTTGCTGATGCAGTGTCTGTTCTGCTTGGTTTCGCGCCATCCGCTACACTTTCGGCAGCTGGTTCATCAAAGGTCAAGTGTGGATTAGCACTCTTGTGATACGTTAGTTATTTAGTTACCTATTTTCGCCATCTCTTGTTCACGCATTTTGATTTGTGGTCTTGCAGTTGAATGGGGTTCTCGAGCCCAATCCATTTGATAGACCTCGTGCTGTATTCATGTTGGAAGTTACTGGAATTAAAGGTACTGAAATTCTACACACTGCTCTTAATTTTCCGTTTTTCCTGCTTTGGTATTGAAGCAAATTCTTCTACATGAAGATCTTCCTCAGGCAAGTATCTCCGCTATTGAAAAGTACAGCCATGCTTTACAGCGCAATACCGTTCTTGGTTCAGAAAAAGCTAAAATTGAACTTCCAGGTTGGTGCCCTTTCTTTGTGTATTTCAATGATATTTGAACAAGTTAGATTATCTGTTCCTACCTCTTTGGATCATGGGAGAATGAATTCTGATGACTACATGTCGTATGGTGTGAACTTTTATAGGTGGAGAGGTCTCTGTGGTTCATTTGGATGATGGGTTAGAAGATTTCACAGAAAAGGAAATAACTGATCTTGTTAGTGCCTAATGGTTTCATCTTTTTCTTGAAACTCTTAATGTTGTCTGATTGTGTAGACGAACGCTGTCATGATGTTCTGGAGGCATTGTTTATATGCTAGGCATCTTTCTTGGGTGGATCATATGTTACCGACGCTTCACAAACAATGAATGGAGATATTATGGGTATAACTTTGGCTAGTGGAACCATGAATCTTCACCTGTCGAAGGTATTAATCTTTATTATCCCTAAGCTTGAGTAGTTCTCAGTTGAAGAAAGTAGTATGATAGCCTTCGTTTGTTACAGGAAGCGGACAGGAAATATGTCAGAATGCTATTGGCTCTGATGCGAAACAGCAAAAGAGCAAGACTGATGCATGAAGATCTATCGCAAGGCACCCGGAGGCCTGCAGAGCTAACAATTGGATGCTTTGATGGAATTAAGGTGTGTTTCTGATGCTGTTTTCTCTCCCCTTGAATTTTGAGAGTTTATTCATTGTTCTTGAGCTTGAATTGGAAATTAGAGAGATGCCAACGAGCTTTATGACTAGTTTTGTTTTTGGGTTACAGGCTTTGCGAGAGCAATATGGTACAGAAAGCATTGTGCAACAAGGGGAGGAGCTATTACTTAGCGTGCTGTCTATGGTTCTCGATTCCTTGCAGGCAGCATACAAAGGTCTGTGGTCTTGTTCTTGACAAAAAGTAGTTCAGTAAAATGAATGTTGCAATGCTTAGATCATTGAACATCTTAATGTGATTCAACAGTCAAGAAAGTGATGGCAAGAGAAGCCTTGTTCACCTATATAATATTTGGATCCATTGAGCCCATGTGACACCATGGCCATCTCATTCATTTTAGAATCCTGGTTCAATGACTCTGTAGTGGGAAATGGGAAATTGTTACTTCTGAAGCAAGAGTTGTTGGTTGCAGAAGTCTGAACCATCATTTAACGTGCCTTTGCTATACCTGCATGATGAAATTGTCCTAAGCTGTGTCATTGTTGTAACCTGGCATGTTTTTGGCTCTGAAGCTGTATCTCAAGTTAGTGGTAACTGACAAATAGTTTTTTTTTCACAGGCCAACTTGTTGCGGTAGTTTCCTTTAAGCCAGAATCACAGACCAAGTTGGACGTGGTGCTGACTGACTGGCCATCTGCTCGTATGTTGGTTGAAAGCAATGTATCACCTGTACTTAATGCCACCATTTTGGAAGTGGCCCTGGTCAGAACGACCTTGGCTTGGTTGACAGGAATCATTCTTCTCGTTTCTACTCTCATTGGGGTAAGAACAATATACGTAGGCTTGTTTCCAATTTCCGTTTAGATCTTCTTTTGATTTACAAACCTGCCTTTCTGAACTTGCATAAGGGATCACTTTATGATGTGCCCCAGCAGTCATCAGCTGTACCTATAATGTTAACTGCTCATCTGTTTTGTGCTCGTGCTTTGACAGGTCTGCATGCTTTTGAATATGCCACTCACTAAGGACACCCTTCTCTACTCCAATGTCAAGCTCGACTAAGTTGGAAGGAGCAGACGCGTCTTTCAAGTTTCAACCATTAAAAGTTGTCGTCTGTGCAGGACATAATTGGGGGACAGTTTGTTGCTGAGCAGTGGCTAGCTATGATTTCTGTTAAACCCGTACCTTGATTGTTGATAATGTCGAATGTTATCAACAAAGCTGAAAGCTGCTGCTATATTGGATGTGCTTGACCGAGGGATTGGGTTTAATTGGAAACTTTACAGGTTGATACTAGTAGGTCATTCCTGTGTGTGGGAAGTAGGATCCTATGGCCAATTTGGAGTTCTCTGTATCTTAATAACAGACATTAGCCGTATTTGGGATTGTTGCGCGTTGTTGAATAAGTCAATATTGTTTTGAGGTCAAATGGATTTAATGTTCGTCATATTCGTGATTTTGTAGCCCTAGTTGGAAGTAGGAATTTCTCTACTGTGTATTAATAATATTCCTCTGCATTGTTCATTTGCTCCGCGTCGTTTCGGTAGAGCTGTCCATTTTGTAGCGAAACAGCATATTGAACAAGGAAGATGAAGATGAATGAAGCTGCTGAAGGATTCTCAGAAGACTGAAGCAGCTGCTGGTTTTACAGAGATCAAAAGGCATAAACGTTTCGTTTCTGCCTCCCCTTCCATCTAATGTAGGCGAAGACCGAAGCGACGCCGTGGAGGCTCTTACCGTTAGGTGGAACAGATAGAGGCCAATCAAGTGAAGACACATGGCACATTTATTTACTGTCTTTGAATTTCCGTTTTAACAAACATTTCAGTTTTTACTGTACTGCAACTTTACTCTTTTGAACTCAGTATAAATACAGAGATGAAATGGAGCAGAGCTCCTTGCGGGTTCCAATTCTATACCGCCGTTATTCTTCTTCTTCTTATCAAACCCTAGCTCTCTGAGCTTTTCTACATGGTATCAGAGCTGAAACGGATCCAGTGACCAACAATGGCGAATCAACCTCCTCCCAACACACCACCTGGTGGTACTCCGCTGCGCAGTGGTTCCATTCCCTTCGGAAGCTTCGACCCACAGTCCAACATGACGAACAATGGTAGTACCAGCACAAACAACAACAACAGAGATGGTCGCCCAGATCTGGTTTTCGGTAACCCATTCTACATTAACCCAAACGAGAACATCTCCCAATCGATTGTTTCTGAGAATCTAGATGGTCCTAATTACCAGATGTGGCAATGTGCAGTTCGTATGGCTTTAAAAACTAAACATAAGCTGGGTTTCATCGATGGTTCTATTCCTATGCCTGATATGGCAGATGCTACGTTTGTGATGTGGGATGCTTGTAATACCCTTGTTCTGTGCTGGATCTTGAATTCCATTGACAAAGAAATTAGGAGGAGTGTTATGCAGCACGAGAATACTCGTCTTCTCTGGATTGAACTTAAGAATCGTTTTGGAGTGACAAATGCTATCAAGTTGGCCAATCTGCAGGATCAGATTATTGCTTGCAAACAGGGTACACTCAACATCACACAGTACTACACTACCTTTAAGGGTTTATGGGAAGAGAATCTTCAATTCAATCCCATTGTTGAGTGTGACTGTGTTGCCCAAAGGACTCGTCCTTGTGCAGCTGTGGAAGCTTTTAAGCAAAAACAAGAAGTAGAGTACCTCATTCGCTTCTTGAAAGGTTTGAGACCAGAGTTTGAAGTGGTCCACACACAGCTGCTGATGATGAAGCCTTTACCAATAGTAGATAATGCTGTGAATGATCTTCTACAGCATGAGCAGAAGATCAAAGGGGACAAAGCTGGAGTGACAAGGGGAGTGCAGACAGTTGCCCTTGCTGTTCAGAACCAAAGCAAATCTGCACCAAATCCAAGCTCAAGTTCAGATGGGCCTAAGTTCTGCAGATATCGTAAAAAAGAGAACCACAACATTGAAGACTGCTACCGTCTGAAGAACAAGAAGGCAAGAATGGTTGGAAGCAATGTTGTTGCAGCTGTGTCACAGGGTGATTCTTCCACTGATAGTGACTCAGCCAGTTCAGATACAAAACTCAGCATTGACACTAGAAGTACAAGCTCCAACATCAGCCTGTCTTCAGATGAGTTGAACAAACTAAGGCTTCTTCTGCAATCAGTTTCCTCATCTCCCAGTCCTTCACCACCAGCATCCCCATCCATCAACCATCTGGCCTTCTCAGTGGTACATCATATTCCACACTTTCCCAATCATGCTGGTAAATACATCTTATCTTCTTATCTGCAGCATAAGAATGATTCACTTATGGAGGTCTGGATCCTAGACACTGGGGCCTCAGACCATATAGCATGTAACTTGCATGCTTTCATTGAATCTACTCCTGTGTTTGGTCAGTTTGTTTTCCTACCTGATGGTACTAAAGTGGCATTTAGTCATATAGGCAGAGTGAGACTTCCTACCAACCTTATCCTTGACAATGTCCTATTAGTGCCTAGCTTCACCTTCAACTTAGTGTCAGTTAGCAAACTGACTAATGACCTCCCATTTCCTTACATGACCCAGAGCAGGACTGGTTTGGCAAAACTGATTAGAGGTCTCTACCAGTTGATTTCTAGGACCACACAACCACTTCTCAATACACCTCAGGCTGCTTCTACATACAACTTCTCTCCCCACACCATTGACCTTTGGCATTGGAGGCTAGGCCATCCCAGCAAACACAGAGAGAATCTTTCAATCCCTTATAATAGGACTTCTGTTTTCCACTGTGAAACCTGTCATTTTGCTAAGCATAGAAGGCTTTCCATTCCTAGCAGTACTAGTCATGCACAAGATGCATTTGAACTAATTCATGTGGACATATGGGGTCCTCTTGCTGTAAAATCCCATGAGGGGTATTCTTACTTCCTGAAAATTGCTGATGATTACTCTAGGGGTGTTTGGACTTACCTTATGAAGTTTAAATCAGAAGCTAGTACCTTGTTAAGAGCTTTCTGTATTATGGTTTTTAAGCAATTTTCTAAGCCTGTTAAGATCATTAGAAGTGACCAAGGCAGTAAATTTCACATGGCTGATTTCTATACTGAGCATGGATTGTTCACCAACAGTCTTGTGTTGAAACACCTGAACAAAATGCTCGAGTTGAGCGCAAACATCAGCATATACTGAATGTTTCCAGGTCACTTCGATTCCAAGCAGGCCTTCCTCTTACCTTCGGGAGTGATTGTATACTCCATGTTGTTTTCCTCATTAACAGACTTCCTACCCCAGTCTTGGAAAACAAAACCCCTTATGAATGCTTGTATGGCAAACCACCCAGCCTTGCTGGTTTAAAGGTTTTTGGTTGTCTCTCTTATGCTGCCACCTTGCACAGAGACAGGACCAAATTTGACAGTAGGGCTAGACAGTGCATTTTTCTTGGTTTTCCTACAGGGGTTAAGGCTATAAACTTTATGATCTCAACAATCATTCTTTCTTTATCTCTCGTGATGTCATCTTCTATGAAACCATCTTCCCATTTGCTGTTAAACAATCTTCCACTTCTCCCACAGTTGCAGATCCAATCTATCCTGCATTTCCTCTTCTTCCCAATACCTCACCTCCTTCTTCTTCCCATTCATCTCCTTCTTCTTCCCAGCCTGCACCCCATTCAGATATTCCTTTGCCTACTTCCACTCCTTCTTCCTCTTCTTCTGCACTGCCTAATGCCTCAGATGAGTCTTTCTCTTCTGCTGAAACTACTGGTGTGCAGTTTGTGGGGGAGGAAGTTGAGATTGAAGTCTTTCCTGATCCAGTTGACTCAGATGAAGCTGAGTATGCCAGGAAGTCCAGTCGAGTTAAAACTGTTCCTATATGGCATAAGAACTATCATATCAACATTGCAGCCTCCTGTACCAAACACCATGTGTGGCATTACTATACCTTTGAGCAACTCACACCTGCTCAACAGAAGGTTGCTATGAGCATTATGGTAAATGAGGAACCAACCTCATATGCTGAAGCCTGTAAAGATCCAAGGTGGAAGGAGGCTTGCAAAGAAGAATTAGCAGCACTGGAAGAGAATCAGACATGGGAAGTTGTTAAACTTCCTAAAGGAAAAAAGAACTGTGGGAACTAAATGGGTGTTTAAGATTAAGTACAAAGCAGATGGTACTATTGAGAGATTCAAAACAAGATTGGTAGCCAAAGGCTACACACAGATTTATGGAATTGATTTCCTTGATACATATTCCCCTGTGGCAAAAATAAATTCAGTCAAGACTCTTCTAGCGGATGCAGCCTCCAAGGACTGGCACATACATCAGATGGATGTATCTAATGCATTCTTACATGGGGACTTGGATGAAGAAGTCTACCTTGAAATCCCACCTGGAGTTGACATCCCAAAAGACTCAGGTTTGGTTTATAAACTCAAAAAATCTCTGTATGGGCTTCAGCAAGCCAGTAGACAGTGGTTTGCTAAGTTGACTAGTGCTCTGATGAAGAATGGCTATTCACAAACCGCTTCAGATTACTCCATGTTTGTTAGGTGGATCCAGGGAAGAGTTGTGGTTGTCTTAGTGTATGTGGATGATATTTTGATTGCTGGAAGTTACCTTGGTGATATTGAACAATTGAAGATGTTCCTCAGTAAAGAATTCAAGGTAAAGGATCTGGGTCAGATGAACTACTTTATTGGTCTGGAAGTTGTGAGAGATCACAAAGGAATCTCAGTAAGTTAGAGGAAAAACTGCTTGGAACTTCTTACTGACACTGGTTTTCTTGAAGCAAAGGGCTATTTAACTCCAGTAGACTGTAATGTGAAGTTGACAGCAGGTCAAGGAGAACCATTACCTGATCCAAGTGTGTACAGAAGGCTAATTGGTAGACTTCATTACTTGACCATTACTAGGCATGATGTAACGTATGTTGTTCAGCAATTGGCTCAGTTCCAGACAGCACCAAGTATTAATCATCTGCAGGCAGCACACAGAGTTATCAGATATTTGAAACACGCCCCTGGCCAAGGCTTGTTGTTCAAGGTAGATTCTAAGTTGGAACTTTCTGGTTTCTGTGATGATGATTGGGCAAGTTGCCCTGACTCTAGAAGGTCTTTGACAGGTTATTGCACATTCCTGGGTTCATCGTTGACTACATGGAAAACAAAGAAACAGACAACTATCTCAAGGTCCTCCTCTGAAGCGGAATACAGAGAGCACTAGCTCAAGTGGTTTGTGAAGTACAGTGGCTGAGAAATTTGCCATTGGAGATGGGGATTAAGGTTCCTTTACCAATTACTTTGTTTTGTGATAACAGGTCAGCTTTGCATATAGCTGAAAACCTGGTTTTCCACGAGAGAACCAAGCACATCGAGATCGACTGTCATGTCACTCGAGAGAGGCTCAAATCTGGTTTGATTAAGCTCAATCATGTAAGAACTGATGATCAAGTCGCAGACTTGTTCACTAAAGGGATGACTCGCTATAGACTGAGTTTTCTTCTTGGCAAGCTGAGAGTCTTCAATGCTTACTCGCCAGCTTGTGGGGGAGTATTGAACACGGAAGATGAAGATGAATGAAGCTGCTGAAAGATTCTCAGAAGACTGAAGCAGCTGCTGGTTTTACAGAGATCAAAAGGCAGAAACGTTTCGTTTCTCCCTCCCCTTCCATCTAATATAGGCGAAGACCGAAGCGACGTCGTGGAGGCTTACTTACCGTTAGGTGGAACAGAGAGAGGCCAATCAAGTGAAGACACATGGCATATTTATTTACTGTCTTTGAATTTCTGTTTTAACAAACATTTCAGTTTTTACTGTACTGCAAATTTACTCTTTTGAACTCAGTATAAATA